GAACAGGTTGCCCAGAGATGTGGTGGATGTACCATCTCTGGAGACTTTCAAGGTCAAGTTGGGCCAGGCTCTGAGCAACCTCATCTGGCTGTATATGCTCCTTTTCTGGCTGTATATGCCCCTTTTCATTGCAGGGGAGTTAGACTAAATAACTCTTATAGGTCCCTTCCAACTCTAAGGATTCTATGATTTTATGATTCTGAGGATATCAGAATGTCTGTGCGCCTACGTACACATATATGCAAGGGGTTTCTTGAATATTTTGAAAAATTCCACCTGTATTTATTCTACCATCCTGCCTTCTGCTGTGAATGTAATATTTGGGCTTCACTGTGTAAATCAGATTTACAGAAAAATCCTCTGCAAGTTTTCTTCCTACTTTTAGAATACAAACATTGCATTTGTTTTGTAGTTTCTTCTGGATGCCTCCTTACTTCTTAAACCTTCAGAGTAACTTTAATCTTAAACTTGTTTTAAGCAATAGCCTCTAGTAACTGCCAAGCAAGCAGTGTTTGACTGTCTGACCAATCAGTCACTGTAAATAACTTACGTCACCTATGTGCTCAGAGATGAGTCCTTTTAAAATCTATTTGACAGCTAGGACATTGTGCTATTTGGAGATGCCGTAGCTCTATCATATGGGGGCTTGCGTTTTCATCCCATGCAACATACCAGTGAGACACTAATGCCTTGTTCACTTGTGAAAATACAGTGAGAATGCAAACAGCAGGCTCTTCTTGAGACACCTGTACTTATTTCAGTGGCATTTCAGATTAAATCTTTGATTGCCTTTCTATCCCAGAACAGCTCTTCAGTTTGAAGCATAACAACAGTATGGTATCATCATCATTCTTGATTAAAAGCGAGAACACAAAACTGTATGAATCCCATAAATGCTGTAGTCAATATTTGTAAGCGTCATTCACTGTGGATGAATAAAAAAAGAATCAGGCTGTTTGTTCTGAGGAAAGATATATTTATGTGCACTGTTTTCAAGTGTTACTCCAATATCAAGTTTACTCCAATATCAATCATAGCATTTGTTATCAAAGTACTTCTAGTAAAAGAGATTAGTAGCCAGATTTTAAAAAGGAGGTTTGTTTTTTTCTCAGACAGACTCTTTCCTGTGTGGTTTAGCCTTACTGGGAAGAAGAGTACTGTAGAATCTCATGAAGATTTATCGTTCTTTAATTGATATCCTGCTGTAGTGCATGAATCCATAATCCATGAAAAGAGAAATTGAATGCATATTTTGAACTAGTACTGCAGTATAACAGCTGATTTATGATCATTATTTTAGATGTACATTTCTAATCCTCAAGAGATAACTTTTAAGTCCTTTGCCAATGCAATTTTGAAGAACTGCCATGAATGATCCCAGAACCATTCATTTGGTTCACAGAATCAAAGAATCACAGAATCGCAGAGTCACAGAATGGCCAGATGGGAAGGGACCTCAAGGATCATGAAGCTCCAACCCCCTGCCACATGCAGGGCCACCAACCTTCACATTTAATAATAGACCAGGCTGCCCTGGGCCCCATCCAGTCTGGCTTTGAAATGGGGCATCCACAACCTCGCTGGGCAGCCTGTTCCAGCACCTCACCACTCTCTCTGTAAAGAATTTTCCCCTGACATCCAACCTCAGTCTCCCCTCCCTCAACTTAAAACCATTTCCCCTTGTCCTGCAGTTATCAACCCTTTCAAAGAGTTGATTCCCCTCCTGTTTGTAGGCTCCCTTTAGGTACTGAAAGGCTGCAATGAGGTCACCCCACAGCCTTCGTTTCTCCAGGCTGAACGAGCCCAGCTCCCTCAGCCTGTCTTCAAAAGAGAGGTGCTCCAGGTTCATTCTTCTTTATGATGTAGGTGTCTGTATGTTGTGGTTTTTGCCTTCTATATTTGTGTTTTTCAACATTTCTTGTGCAATAAATTATGGTAGATTGTTGCAGGAAGTAAATATATGCTTGCTTCAGCCATTTACCTTAAGGTTGTGCTATTTTTTTCCTTTACCATTAAGCCATAAATATGTTTCTGTGGGTTACTGCTGAAAAAGAGAAGGCACTGGAACTTGGAAGATAAGTTTATTTTTTGCTCATGGACAAATTAATCGCTTTATATCAAAGACATATGTTCATACTCAGGATAATACTAGAAAATGCTGAAAAGGACACCCATTGTTGGCGGGTAAGCAGATGATCTGAATTTTGCAAGGAAGGGAGAGATTATTAGAATGGCTTGTGCAAGAATCACCTGGACTAATTAGTTTTATTAAAACTTGCCCAATTACCAATATTTGCAGATGTTGTAGATATTCTTCAGTAATTGCAAGACAGCAGTGCAATTCTGAACATAACTATGCAGCTTTCAGTTTCTTTATGTCAATTCTTGTGTGAAAGTATATATCAGAAGTAATTTCAACGTTTTCTTGAAACTTTTCTTTCTCCATTTTTTACTGAACCATGAACTGTGCAAAATAAATTCCCATGGAGTAAAGTATGTTGTAGGGTCTTTGACTGATACAGAATAATTGCTTTGTTGATTGTATATCCATGCATGATAAGATATGCATAAGAAGAAATCTGGTACAGAAGTATAAATAATACTTATCTTTAAGCCAGCATCTGTCATCTGCTTCAGCAGACAGTGTTTTCTTTCATTCTTGCACAAAAAGAGCTGAGAGATTTATGGAGCAGCTTTGTTTGTGCTCTGTGATGCTTAATCAATTTTTATTAAATTCTAAATTAAAACTTGGCTTTCATCTGTCTTTTTTTTTTTTTTTTTCTTTTCCCCAGTACACATATCTGATGTACAGAACAAGAGAAAGACTCATGACTACCACAAAGTTTATGCAAAGGTGGGAGGGCTTCAATCCTGAAATCCTCAGTACTTTGACAATGTGGGGCCACTCTGAGTCATTTTTTCAGAAGCTGCATTGGTATTTCCCTGACATTCTTGAAAAGAATTAAAACAGAGTGTCCTTGAAAGTAATAAAATCTTTAGATTTCCTCTACGATGTAACTGTCTGTGATGTTTGCAAGACATTTTCTCCAAAATAATTTTATTTGTAGATGGTATCCATGGTTCCATCAGTCAAAGTACGTGTTTTAGGATGTCTTTTCAACTTCCTGACACCGTAAAACACTAGCTAATCCTCATTACATGCAGAGATATGTAAATAAGTATCATTATCTCCATTTTACAGACGGAGAAATTAAAGCAGAATTGTTAAGTTATTTAGTCAGGGTCACACCTCTTAGAAAAGGCAGAATATAGGCGACAGGAATGTTTGAGTCTTCTGGTCAAATCATTCCTCTTTCTGATGACAGTGAAAAATAATAGTCACCATCTGCAAAAATGTTCTTCTTAGAGTTTAGATAAATGAAATAAATAAGTTATAGGAGATACAGAAACGTGTCTTAAAATTTGTTATTTTGGGAGTTGGTTTGGATTACAGAATTTTTTGCGCTGAGTCAGTTCTTCCACATTTCATACGGGAATGATTCTGTAAACAATGCTAAGAGTCAAGTTCAAATCAAATGCAATAAGATGGAATTAAAATTATTGGCACACTTACTTCTTCTAAAGAATAAATCTTTTAGACTGATTTTTTTATTTTTTTTTTTTTAAGAAAACAAATAAATGGAGTCTAATGAAGAAGGGACTTTTGATCCTTTGACCTCAGTGTAACCCAATAGCAATTCTTTTTGGCCTGGCAACTTGCATTTTGTTAAGTCCATTTCTAGAACGCTATCCAGACTTGTCTGGAGACTGCTATGCACTGCTTCCCTTGATAGTTTGTTCAAACAATTTGTCACTCTTGCTATTGCTAAATAGAGATTGTTTAGCTTCACTGTGCACTTCTTGTTATGCCATTCACATTTAGATTGAGGAATCCTTTAGGACCTGCTATTTTCTTTCTATGAAGGTGCTTACACACTCAAATCAAAGTAATTCCTTCCTTCTTTTCAAAGATGTTTCTTATTGTAGGTTTCTTCTGAATAATGTTTTTGTCTCCTTCACTACAATATGGAGATAGAATTATGCTTTTGTTGCCTTCTCTTTCTGTCTGAAATTACGCTGGGAGCTTGTAATGAGTTGTACATCCTTAAAACTTTTCAGTGTCAGGCTTTTGGCATATAGCTCTCCGTTTGTGTTAGTCCTGTTTACCCAAGGAAATCTGCAGGGTTAAAACTGAGAAGGAAACATCTTCTTAGTGTAAGTACTCAATGTGGTCTTACTAGACAATAGAAGAAATTGCCACTTTGATGTCTTCAAGGAAATTTTTAAAATAGCAATGTGGATAGAAATATTTTTGTTAACATAACAGCTTCGCTCTCAGATATTTTGACTTAAATCTTGCAGACACCATGCCTAGAACACACCAGGTTGGCTTTTAGATTGTTTGCTATCCTCTCTCTACTGAGTAGTTAAACACTAACTGTAAGCTTTGCTGAAAAATGAATCTCACATTCTCCACAGCTGCTTGAAAAGACTCCTTCCAGTTTGTGCATGCTCTTTTTAAGAAATACAGCAGGCAGTAAATTCAAATCAGTGTGCCTGAATTCATTAATTTCCTTTGGCAGGCTGCTGTAGAGGATCTGAGAAAATAATTTTGGTGTTAACTCTGAGGAAACTGGGATACAGCCTCCAGACTTTTCAAAGCTCAACCTCTAATCAACGAGATGTCAGTTAATTTTCTTTGTGCCCTTTTGCCTCCCTCATCCTTTCAAAACGCTGTGTGTTATCTGTCCCGAACACATTACTTCTGTGTCCAGTGCAGCAGCAGTAGCAGCATGGAAAAAGGCGGGGGACTGAGAAACTAGAGGAACTTAGAAAGGAAGACAAATAAAGAAAAGTGTCACTGAAATTTTAAAATGAAAACAGGATGTGGACATGATGTACAAGTGCGCTTTCATGATACAATGCAACTGGCTTTGTAGCTGCCCAGCTTTATGCCGTACGTACTGCTGTTTTCCAGTGTTCCTTTATTTTTCGCTGGGTGAATCACAGGACAGATCTAGTAAGTTTGTGTCTATTTCATGTGGAGTAAATTTAGAGGAGATGAACTGAGTCTTTGGAGCCATTGCCAAATGAGGTGGTGATGATGGCTAGAGAAGCTTGGAGCTGGCGAGTGCTTCTGGCAGGGACACAACACATACTGTATCATGCCTTTGACCATGGTGCTTTAGACACACTGCCAAGTGTTTGTAACGAGATAGTGCTGTTACTGCATTTTACTTTTAACTTTTCCTCTGTGTAGAGTACGTCTCCCTTTTTGTTTTATAAACTGTGCTCTCCACAGTTTTTTTGTACTGCTGTAAACAGTTCTGATTATTGATATTTTAGCAAAGCATGAGGTAGTTTCATACAGTCCTCATTACATAATGTTAAATACTCCATATTTGGCTGGTATAGTGTAATCTGATTCTTTGAAAAATGATAAAAATGTGGATGGTAATTGTCATTTTATCAGATGTCAGAAAAAAAGGTGATATGCATTCAAGTGAGCAAGAGGTCCATTATCAATATGGTAAGAGTAGTGGATGTAAGGATAACAACAGGTAGGTAAAAATTTTCTAAGAAAAGCAGAAGAGTTAAATCTCTCTGCTTAAAATAGGGAAAAACTAAGTCTTCTTTTTCAAAAATGGAAAAACTGATGATTTTAAAATGTCATGAATGTGACATATAAAATCATATAAAAATATTTTAAATCAAATAATTATTTATTCATGTATATATAAGTTAAAATGTCAACATTTCAGAAAGAGAACAATGTCATTGTTTTTATTGCTGGTGATGGTTCATGAAAATGAAGTTTACTGTACCACTGGGACAGTGGTACAAATTCTCAAATTGTAAAAATGACAGTAAGAAAATACCAATCCTAAAGATAGCAGAATACATTTAAACCAACTCTTTTTTCATCTTTCACTCCCTTCTAATAATGTTTGTTAATGGACCTTGTGACTGGGGTCCTACTGGAAGTTAAGTTGCTACTGCACAGGTGAAGTAGGTGCCCTGTATCTGATGGTGGTATGTTGTGCAAGGTTAAGGTCTAGCCTTGATAAACCTTGCAGCCATCACAGATACCTCAGAGAAGGTAAAATTGAATTGAGTAGGAATGAGGTTTCTTGTGTTCCATCTTGAGACATTTCTGAGATAATGAGCATACTATTGTTCCTCCTACTTCTGTGTTAAGATTTGTGGGTTCTTCCACCTCCCTGTTAAGATCTATGGGTTCTTCTGTTTCAGAGGGAGATGATTATCTGTCATGGCTAAAATGACTTCAAGTTGTGTAAAGCAACAACAAACTCCCGTTACTCTTTTATATTTTTTTTTTTCCAAAGTTTCTTAAGTGTTGTGAAGTTGGGTCAGTAGTATGCCATATCAGCACTCAACAGTACCATCCTTTAATCTGGCCATCCACATCACAACCAGTTTTGGAAGCTGGTCAGAAAAGCAGGGTCAGAGCTGTGCAGTGTGGTTTTGGCACACCTTCCGCTGTTTCTTCATGCTTTTGCTTTTTGTAAAAAGGTATCTGTTAACCCTGAAAAAACATGCTAACTGATAAGTGTCAGCATACTTGTTGTGGTTTGGCTACCCTAACCGCCATTGTGAACAACTTTCTGATGTTTGTGTTTGCAGGGGTGGTGCTGCACATGGAGGGCAAGGGTCCCCTCATCAGGTTGCACACCTTCCCTCCATTCTGCTCACTCTCTGCCACACTCGGCTCAGTGTCAGAGGCTTTCTGCTGGCCTGGAGTGGTGCTGTGGGGATGAAGTTAAGGACCAAGGCATCTCTCTTGAGCAAACTTTTATCTGGACAGCCTGTAGTGTTTATCTGCAGCTTTTTTTTTCTTCTTTCTTTCTTTTTTTTTTTTTTTTCTGGTAAAAAGAGTGAAGAATAGATACTGAGTTCCAAAGCTCTGACTCATATGGCCACAATGAAGTATTAGGATACAGCCATTTCCTATCTTTGTTTAGAAATCAACTGACAAGGCCTGGCGGATGCAGGCCCTCAGCTGCAGGGCTTCATGGAAGGAAATGCTTTTCGTCTTTATTGAGTACTGAGTGCTATTTAGCAATTACTTTGCGCATTGCATGTGGCAAGCATTGTGTAAAATGCTTTTCTGCGTCTTTCTATACACTGCAACCACCTGAGGCTCTAACGTGATTAAAATGTACTTCAGGAACAGTACTTGCAAGGTGGTTAGAAAAGGGCGGTGAGGAAGGCAGCTAATTGCAAGAGAGCTGTCTGCTTGCACAATGCCTTTCTGAGGAGCTCAGGCTGTACTACAGATACAAATAAAATATTGCCAATACTTCTTTGAATCGAGAAATATCTCAAGGCCACATGAAATTAGGCAGAGAAAAAACATGTGTGTCTTGTCTGATGTTGCAGACTCTTGGGTGGAACTAGGAGTAGGTGGTGCCAGTTCTGGCTCCTATTCTTCTGCTCTGACCACTAATTCCACTTAAGTTTGGGTGTCATAATCTCAGAAAAGGCAGCACATTTGCATGTAGTGAGAGTGAATGTCTCGAAAAAAAAATAATAAAAAGAACTCTCAGGGTAGGTAATGAAACAATAAAATAAGGAATGGGAGTACTAAAAGAAAAACAATGACAATTGGAAACGTCTGTGGTCGCTGTGTATTTATCCTTAGTCTTGAAATTCATTGACACTCTTTTCATTATTTTTTTCTAGATTCTTCTGTAAATGACTCTTGCATTCTTTCATTTATGAACAGTAGAAACAATGGTGATCCTTTTTATCTGTATGGTTTCATGATTTCATTTACATCTCAGAGACAAACTGTTTATTGGTAACTTACTATTCTCTTCTTCAACAAGGCCTTATTGGCATTTGCCATCAGTGTTAGAGAACAAACACACTTACAAAAATGGAAAAAGCATAATCCTGGAAACTGTCCAAAGCAAGGTTAGGAGCCTACGTATGGACAAATGCTCTTGCTTGGAATGGGATAGAACATAGTCTCTGGTTCATGTGCTTCTGGTCTGTGTGTGTGTTTTTAGTTTTTGTTGAGCCAAAATTAAACACAGTGGAGTTTACTGTTTGCTAATCACCATGTGTTTACTTTCCCTTCCAAAACTGCAGTTGCCAACCAATACTTTTTCTACCCAGTGCTATGAATCTGTCCAAATAAACATGGGAAGTAGTAAAACAATGACACTACATGAAAATACACCCTCATTCATTAAACAGAGTCCAAAAATTTTTGTGGAATTTAGCAGTAGCAGAGAAATGTGCATCTTGTGGTCTCTCCAGAATAAGAAAAAGTAATAGCATAACAAAAATGATGTTCTGCACTGAATCTCAAGAAAAACGGATATGAATGAATATTCTTTTATTTTATGCTCCCTCTGTAATTCCCGTGGGTTGGTGCACTTTGGATATCCATGATGTTATGTTAATTAGGAAGGCACATATCTTATCCTACAGAGAAGTAGTAATCAATTCTGACTGCTACTAAAGGTTACCAATACATTCTTCAAAGTGAATTTTCAGAGTGCTTCTCTTACAGAACATTGAAGCAATGGCAGAAGTTTTAAATGCAAATATTTTGCTTTTATGACCAACTAATGTTGTGAGAAAAGCCTTATCAGTGTGACAGTAAAGAAGCTGCACCAAGCAGCTGTCCAGCTTTTCCTGACTACCAAATTCAGTTAATCTGCAAAAATTTTGATCATGGAAGAACTTATGCTAATGTTGGTGGATGACTCACAAATGACTCAAAAGTAGCATTAAGCATGAATATTGGTGATGAGTGAGTTGGAGGATGGAAGATCTTTTTTCAAGACCTCACGCTGTGTTGAACACATTGAGAGATAACGGAAAGTGCACAGACACGTTAGATCTCATCCAAAGAAGGTGATATTCAGCTCATCAGCTTTCTTTGCTTGGGTTTTAGAGGAAAGTGGATTTCTGCATAAATCATTACGATACTGCCTGCTGTGAGAACTGGACCAGGGGTTGGGTTGTAAGTGCAGCCAGCAACAAACATCAGGAGAATGTTCATGGTGTATGTAAAACATCTTGAGGGACCCATGCTCTTGTCACCCTGTTTTCCTGAGATGCTGTCTTGAAGCGTACATTCGTTGTGCCTTGTGGACCCTTCTTGATTGACCTTGGCAACAAGTGGAACAACTGTTGCTTACTTTCAGCAAACCGCCTACTTGTTCTTGTAGATGTGGTTTTCTGAACCCTTTTGAGAGCACAGAACATTTAAGCATCCACACTTGAATCTTAAGACCTGTCATGCAAAGTGATTGCCTGGGTCTGTCTGGTGCCTTGAAACAGCTACAGTATTACCATTACTGCTCTGCCCCTGTGTTTTTCTTTTTATATCTTTGTTTGGTTTAAACCTACAAAAGGTGCCCTCATTCCTTTGGTTGATAATTGCTTTTCTTCTTGAGAAAATGTTATTAGTGTTTTTGAGTCTGAATGGTAAGAAAAATATTTCTGTTATAGTTGTGAGCACGTCTTTTAAAATGAGATGCGGTGTACAATTTGCCTTACTAGTCTGCACCGAGGCAAGTTGAAATATAAATAACAAGATGTGTGAACTTCCTGAAATCCTGTATAGTCCTGGAAGAGGCTCCAGATATAAAGCTCAGCAGTTACCCCTAGGATGCCTAGGAGTAAACCATTTTGCTAGCATTAAGTGCTTGTCCAAGCCACTCTTAGGACATGTGTAGCTCGATCTAGATGACACTTTCCTTGGAAAAATTCTGGGGAGCTGAAGTTTAAATGAACAGGTTGGTACATGAACTACAACTAGCCAAATATTATTTTGATTGTGAAGGTAATTTTAAAAATTAGGTAAGCACAGTACTGATAGTTGGAAAGCACTGTCCTTTGTCACAACCTGTGCAACAGTTGTAAGACATTCAAAAATATTTATTTGTATTTTACCCAGCAAGGAATACTTAAATCAACTGGACAACAGGAAGGCGCTGTTTCTATCTCCTCTGAACAAGCTGTGAGTACAGAGGAAGTTGG